CAGCTATATATTCCGCTATAACTACATCAGTAATATTACTAATACTATACTCTATATCTAGAGTAATAACATTCTTTTCTAGGTCCTTAATAAGCTCCCTTAGAGTAGAAGTAGGTTAGCTAACCTTCCTCTCTTTCTCAGGGGAATAGAACGTTATCTTATTAAACCGGACGTTACGCGTGATCACTATATAGTATAGCTAGGGCACTTAGATCCTATATAAGTTAGAAGTAATATAACTAACTAAGTATCTAACATGCGCCCTAAGGCTGACTTTAAAGCCTCTATAATTCCTTTTAGCCTCTCTGTTAGTTATAACTAGATATACATACGCCTTATACGTGTATACTCTACTCTAGTCAAGTCTTAAGTCAGTTAAGAGCTTCTTTACTATCAGTAGATCGTACCACTGAAAATAGTTCTGAAACTATTCCTAGAGTACTTAATTTAGACTCCTTATCCCTCAGCGTACAAGAGGACTTATATTATAAAAGTAGATTACTATATAATATACCTCTAAGTAAAGCTTCTTTAGCAGGTTCGCCTAAACACGTATCTTAATAGATTTAGTGATAATCTCCTATCCTACGCGCTCCGCGCTGCTTACAAGTTCTTTAGTATATAGTAGGGGATTCTCTACCTCTATCCCTTCTCTCGTAGTCTATTCCTTATACCTTGACGTGCCTTAAATAGCTATAACTAAGGTATCGTTATTATACTAAATAATATAGACTAATAGTCTATATTAACGCTTAGTCTAACGCTTGAAGTTCTCTAAGACTAGTATAATATAGCTAGCTAACTTACTTAGTAATATATAGCTAAAGAGCTTCCTACTATACTCGTCCTTAATAATAAGTAGCTAGCGAGTACTATTATAACCTACGTTAAAGTCGAATAAGTCCTAGAGGATTTAGTAGAATAGCCTAGCTGCCTTATTCTCTAACTCCTATCTTAATATAACGTTTCTAGCGTGTATAATAGTATAGTCTTTACACTAGATTCTTGATACTCCGTCGAATTATACGCCTCTCCTTATTTTAAGCAACGCCCGTAGAGCACTCTCTCCTAAATAGCCGGTATATAGGTACTATAATTATAGAGTTATAGAACACTTCTTAAGTAGTTAACTTAACAATTGGAAACCTTACTTATTTAAGCTACGACTTAGAGTCAGGTATATTATAATAGGCGTGCGTATTAAGGTCACTAAGTTATAAGAGCGATAAGAGTATCTGAAAAGCTTATATTTAAAGAAAGTTAAGTTAAACTTTTAAACTAACTATCTAATAACTACGCTTATCTAAACCTCCTTATACTATAAAGTAGTATCTTTCCCTGAGTACTATAGCCCGGCGTCTTTTAGTAACGCCTCTAAGATAATATTAACATAGAAATCACAGACTATAGCGACGTTATTAAGTAACAAGTCTTAAGTATTTAAACTATTTAGCTTAGCTAAGGAGTTCTTAAACACTTATTTCCCTCTACCGACTACTGGAATTTATTATATTCTAGCTTCTATATAGTTATTATTAGTTAATCTCTTAAAGGAACCTAGAACTAGCTTATTCTCATAATTAACTAAGTGCTAAGCGCCGCAGTTATTAACTAAGGTACTCTCTAAGAGTACATAAGGAACATTAATAAAGTCCGTAGCGTAGATTCCAAGTGTCTCTTCAAGGTCTAAGAGCTTTAAATTAATAGTAGCTACGTTAATATTTCCGGGGTACTTCCCTTTAGCTTACTAAGATAATAGTTCTCAGTCCTTACTAGGCTTCTTCCTAGTAATCTAAGCTATAGAGATAGTAGTCTAGCTTTCCTTAGAGATCTCTTAGCGTAGTTCTACGTACTTAGGTGCCTGGATAGTCTCACGAATCCTCTTAATTTACTTATCATTTAAACAGAATCTTATACCGTCAGCTTAAAAGCTGTTATAAGCGAAACAGAGCTTTCAGCACTTAATTAGAGGGTGCTAGTATCTGATTCCACAGGGGTAGTTAGTCTTCCTATCTCCTTGATTTAAACAGGAGCGATTCCAAGAGCTTCCGGAATAATCTTACGAGCCTCTTATATCAGAACAACTACCTAGTATCAGCGTAGTATAGAAACTATTAGCTCCCTTACCTCCGTTCCGGTAGTGCTCCTCTATATTCGCTGTAAACGCTAGACTGTACTCCTCCAGTGTTATACTATACTAATATCTTAGAGTATTATCTCTTATAATATCAGCGAGTACTTAAGCGGCCTAAGTCTCTAACTAAACTAATACTACGTTTAGGAAAGCTCGTATACCACGTACTCCTTATATATCAGGAATATTATATACTCTCGCAAGATAGAAGTTCTTTTACTATAGCTTATACCACGTGCGAGGTTTAATTCGCGACTTCTTATCTTAACGTGTCAGTAGGCTAAGTGTATCAGTGTAATCCGAAATAATAGAAGTTAGCACTACCGCGTCTAAAAGTACTATATCACACTTAATAGACCTAACTAGTACTTATAGTCCTGCGGCGCCCTTAGCTATATTATTATTAATTACGTTAGTTAGAATAGACTAGCTAATAGTACTATTTACCTAGTTAAAGAGGTTCTGAATACAGTTATTAAGCGCTATCTATTTAGCTAGCTTATTCGAGTACTCCCTTATTCGAGCTTCCCAGAGTACTTTAATATCTTTAAACTTAGCTTCTAAGAGCTTACTTATAGATACCGGCGGTTCTATTATACTCTCTCTTTCCTTAGTAGTAGCGGCGTTCTATTTCGCTAGTAAATCTAGGTCAGCTTATATTAATAACGCTATCTACTTACTAAGGCGATTATTCATCTCCTCTCGTATAAAATCGTTAATACTTAGGAGATTCGGTCGTTACTTGATAATATTTCTAATATTATTAGCGTCAGGGTTAATAAATCTCCAGATTCCTTTAAGTTCAGTATAGTACTAGAAGGTTATCTACTACTAGAGCTATTACTTTCTCTAATTAAGAGTATTACTCTTGTGTTCAATTAACTCGTCTTAAAGGTATATTAATATATTAGAGAGGCTTTCTATAGAACTAATAGCGTTAAGAGTATTTCGGGAAGTTCAGGGAGGTATTTAAAGGAGTTCTTTAAGTAGTAGTATAAGTATCTCTCGATACTACTTGTAACTCTACTTATACTATATAGTATACTCGTATAGTAGCTTAAACAAGTGAATATAGCTCTTAACTATCGTGTACTATAAGGAGGAGCTTTATGTAGTGTGAAAGTCTTGATTTATTAAGGTATTCTAGAGCTCCCTTATAAGAGGAAGCTCTAGGAGTTCTAGTTATATAAGCAGCCTCTAGTTAGCTGGAGCGCCTTAGGGAGTGCCTCAGGTGCGTCAGGTGCACGATATATATCCTCTCAGGCTAGGAAAATAGTTTACTTTTATTTAAAAGTCGATTATAAGTCTTAGATATAGATAGTTTATATATATAACTTATTTAGTATATATATAACTAAGTCTTTATAGCTTATCTTAAGAAGCCTAAGATATTTAGCTTACTTTATACTAAGTACTACTAGCTAAGTATACTTAAAGATATAGCTAGGTTTATATTAAACTACTTAGCTTATAATTATATAAACTATTATTAAGATAAAATACTTAACTATCTTTACTTTTTACTAATCTTTAATTACTTATAGTAATACTTAACTATAGACTTTAAAAGTATATTAAAGGATAAGTTCAGATATAATTCTATACTTATTATAATAGACTATTTCTTTGTAGAAGTAATATTAATCTCTTACTTCTTTATATATATAACTTATAACTTGGTATAGTTATTTATCTCTAATTACTAGAAGTTTAATAAACCCTTAGAAACAATAATATTAAATAGAAGCTTATAGTTTATCTTCTTCTTTTAGAATAAGTTTTATTATATCTTTAGTATTAAAGTTAAACTTTTTACAACTTATTATACTTAAATAAATAGTTAGATAAAAATTATAAACTAATACTTAAACTAATACTTTTAGCTTTTTATTAACTATTATTAAGATAAATAATTTAAGCTTCTATTAATAATAGATTATACTTAACTAATTTTATTATATGAGTCTTTAAGAATATCTTTATATTAGTTAGAATATAAATATAAGCTAAGAATAAGTTAGAATTAAGATAAGCTTTAGCTAGAGGCTAAATAAATAATTACTAAGAAGCTAAATATTACTAATATATAAGTGTTTACTTATTATTATAAGTAAATTTAATGGAAAGCTTAAGAATTCCTTTATAATTAATAAGAAAAGAAATAATAAGATATAAATAAGTTATATTAAGAAGTTAAGTAAGAGATAAGTAACTTTATGTAAGTAATAATAAGAAATTAGAAAATATATTAATTAAAGAAGAAACTAGATAATTAGTAAGTAAGCTTATTTAAAGTCCTTAGAAAAGAAAGTTACTTATTATATTTAGATCTTCTAACTTTAGTTAAAGTTTATTCTATCTTCTTTATAAATAAGCTTTAATAGTATAATAATAACTTATTCCTTAAATAAGTACTTTAAGAATAAGAACTTATCTAAGTAGATACTAAATAAAAATAAGAAGTCTAAGATATTTTAAAAGTATACTTTAAGTAAGATAAGATTTTATAGTACTAAGCTAAATAAAAAGAGCTTAATTTTAACTTTAAATTCTACTTTATTAAAGACTTTATAACTTATTTATATAAGCTTCAGGACTTTTATTAGATATACTTTATATAACTAAGATTATTTAAGCTACTCCTTAAATAGCTAATTACATAAGAAGCTAAAGATAATAGTATATATAATAGATTGATAGATAATATTATAATATCTAAGGTAAATTATAAGAAATTTTTTTATAACTTAAGGATAAGCTTTCTTTAAAAAGAGAGGTAATATAATAAACTAATTATAATAAGCGAGTTATATAAGTAAGACTAATATTATAAGGCTATAAAGCTAGAGTTATATAATAAACCTAGAACTAGCTTAGTTTACTAGTAGTTATATCTCTCTTACTTATTCTTAAGGCTCCTTAAGAACCTCTTCCTCTCGCTATCTTTTCTACTTTGTATTATAGCTACTAATAAATATTCATTGTACCGTCACAGATAAGAACAGTCGATAGGCGTGGAATCCAAGTGAAGCCCGAGACTGGAGCTGATAGACGCAGCTTCGGACCAAGTCGTGCCTCTTCTACTTCTGCCTCAGGGCCAGCCGAACAAGGAAGAAGGATGTCAGAGAGGCCGGGTGTGGTATTGTCCTGTGGTGAATCATGGTATCGGCTGGGTATCAGTGGCCTCCTATAATCTCGCTGGTCGATGAAAATAAATGCTGCGAGGTCCTCAATATCCGGACCACGGCGTCAGGCCGTGGAGTTCAAGCTGCACATGATGGGTTTCTGAACCAGGTGTCTCCCCTCAATTTCGCCAGACATCAGGCCTAGTGAAAGTCTAAAAAGTACGCTGGCTGACTGACGATATGTACACAGATTGAAGTTCGCAAGTCCCGCTCATCCCCACTACCAGTGCAGTAATTTATATGAGTATATCGGCTTTTATGAGTTGGCATTGGTAGCTGGGGATCGGCGCTACGGTTCAGCGCCTACCAGCAATATTTGGCAAAATGATGGCTGCATACCTACACGCCAGAACGTTTTAAAAAGTTGTCTCGTAATTAACATGTTCTGGACCGGAGGAGGGGTTTAAGCTCCCACTCCCTATACTCCAGGGCTGTGAATAGGAAGGACCGTCCAGGAACCTTGAGGTTGTATCCATGCGGTCCTTCTTGATGACATGTCAAGAGACGACATAGAAAGCTGCGGTAGCATTGTCATGAGGTGGGCAGTATGGAATGATAAATAACACATGCTACTTCTGTTCGGAATTGCACGCATTGCATGAGGTGCTGCAGCCCTTTGAGCCATTGCGCGGCTCACGGAGAGGAGGGGACGATTCGAGCGAGTGTGTCAAAAGAAGAAAGGAATTGTGCTTAGATGGATGGTATGTACAGTTAGAGTATGTAGACACTCACTCGATGAGGGGTAGAGCGCCCCTCGGATACGCTGTGACGATTTGTTGTGGGGGATTCATTGAGCGTTGTTCAAGGACGCTCTCGGACAAACTCTCCCCACACTTGAGCAAGCAGCTGATGATGAGGACTTGAGCATCCCTCTATGCATCGTACTGTATAGCTCGATGGGCATCTACCTTGATTTTGTGCTGTATGACATTTGGATCACAGAGTCTGAGAGCAGATGGCTGACCTGGTGGGTGAATGAGAGAACTGCAAGAGGATGGTGAGATGGTGAGAAGTGAGCACTCCGGGCATCCTGTCACTGAGCCATATATCGGTAACTTCGTAAATGGGACTCCGCGCTGGACATCTATCGCCGGAGGGCGGAACAGGAGAGAGCGTGAGCGAATCTGGAGATTTGTGGGCCTTCCCGTCATATTGTACTTTGACTCACTTGATTCGCACCTATGTTCATTCATATAATACCTTATTGATTTTCTCTTCATAGATTTGTAGCCACACATTGCCATTTGCCAACAGCTCATTCAACCCTGCTCGGGTCTACTTTGAAGTTCCAAAAATCATCTGCCTTCTGAAAGATATGAGCCGTCATATCTGTCCAGGTCCATGAGTACGTCCTTCCCAGATCCTCATCCACTTGTCAGAGTGGATCAGGGAGTTGACGCCTGCACTGAGGTGAGTGTGACGGTTGGAGTCCCAGCTTCAGCTTCTTTTGCTTCGCTTCCCGTTGTCAACACCCATCTCCTCAACCTCTTTCTTGTATGTCTGTACATCTGCCGAATCCAGGTAGCCGGCGTCCTTCTTCTTTCTGTTACCTAGCTAGTATATCTATTCATTCTGCGTTCACTAGCCAAAAGACTGCGAGCAACGAACGGGATCCTCATCCGATTGTTGCCGTCCGCGTCCTCTATAGGCCCAGCACCAGTACCGGCGTGATCCAAGCATGTTCAGTTCAGTTCATTTGCGAGTCAGACAGTGAAACGTCAAAAACACCAGATCCTGCCTACTACACAACCCCGTCGCGCAGTGCGGTACACCCCGCCCCTCCTCCGTGAAAGTATCAATCGGCTTTCACGAACAACGCGTCCTTGATACCTTCTCCTTGCCCGCCCAGCCTTACGACCTGACAACCTCGGATTCATTCATACACTTATCTATCGCGGGTACTTGTCTCCAAAGATTTGAGGAGGTGACTCCCTTCAGCGACACCCGACTCGAATCGATCAGCCTGGTCCTGGTCCTGGCGGTCCTCTCGAGCCAGCCAGAGCGGCGGATGTGACTCGCAGACCTGTCCAAACGCAGCGAATTGAAGTCTTCCCACTGCACTGCACTTTACCCGCCGCCCATCTCACGCCCCGGCGACCACCCACGGCGCAATCTCCAACATATTCGTTCCCGTTTCCACGATACAGTAGCAGAGCCACCGAGCGTCTGCTCTCTTCTCCTGCCTAACCCCTCGTCTCGTCCCATTCATCATTCGATCTGGCCATCGCACGCAAACGAGCGTGTCGACAATAATAAGATACGGGACACGCAGATCTCGATACTGTTCCGATACCCACCCTGGTGCCACCGACGGCCCTGCACCACCGAGAGATACCTACGCCTCGACCGCTAAAACAAAAGCGATCAGCACAACACCAAAATCCAATCCACGCCCTCATCAACTTCTCGCCCTGTCCTGGACTGTGTCTGGACTTGAAGATTGAGAATGCATTGACCCCATGCAGGTGAAAGAAGTTCACGATGCTTATGACACTGCGCAGCAACGGCATATTTCCTGATCAGCAGAATTCCCAGTCGTTCAATTCCAGTACCAGTGCTTACCCATCCAGCACCTCCCACATCGCCAACCGTGTGGGACAATACACCGAAGAGAGTCCGCTGCGAACCTCGTCCCCTCTCCGCCCCTCTCGCGGTCGATATTCTCCCTCCGACCAGTTCGCAGCAGCACAGGAATCGAGATTTGCGGGGAAGCGCAGATCGCCGCCTCTGATGAATGGTCTTTTGGGGAACGCGCCGCAGCCGGTGATGTATGTGCGAGCGCTGTACGACTACGAGGCAGATGACAGGACGAGCCTGAGCTTCCACGAAGGAGATGTCATTCAGGTCATCACCCAGCTGGAAAGCGGTTGGTGGGATGGAGTCATCAATGGAGTAAGAGGCTGGTTCCCGAGCAATTATTGCCAGATCATTGCGAATCCGGAAGATGCGCTGGAAGGCAAACAGAATGGCACAGCAAGCGATGCAGATGATGGAGATGAAGAGGGGGAGGAAGACGAAGAGACGGAAGAATTTGAGGACCAGTACGAAGAGGAATCCGCTGACTCGGAGAGAGACGAAATGACCCAATTGCCCATTGAGGGAACAAGTAGCAATGAACGAACAAGGGCAGACTTTTGGATACCACAAGCTACGCCGGATGGACGTTTGTTCTATTTCAATACAGAGACGGGCGAGAGCAGCATGGAGCTTCCGCTGGAATCTCCCTCTTCTGTGACGGAGAACGGACCACGCGATCGAATGAATATTAACATTCCTGAGAAGACCCGACCCCCACCAGAGATGATGGCTCGAGGTTACATGCAGGACGAAGATGACGATTCCGAGGGTAACTCGGCATCAGAATTAGAGGGGGAGACATTGATGCTCGCCTCTAGAAGCTCATATGTAAGCTTGGATCTCTCATGTTTCTCTTTGTGCTAATCCATCCCTCAGCCTCGAAAACGCCGGTCTCTAGTCTCTGAAGGTATCTCTCCTGCCACTTCAATGGACTCGATAACCGGTGCTTCCCCTGTCACGCGATCCCGACCTGCAGACCCTTTCATAAACCCCAATTTGTCCATGGTCACGGCCATGCCAATCATGGGTCCCTCAACCACCTCATTCACGAACCCCTCACTCAATCCACCACATGCCGCAACCCTACCTCGGTCTTTCTTCGATGATGGCTCCGCCGCACCATTGACTTGGAACAAGCTCGTAGCGAACATGAAGAAGGCCGTGGACAGGTACCGAGAGTCAATCAATAACAATGATCGATCGGAATATGTGAGCCGTGCGGAAGACATCTCGGACCATTTGCGACTGCTCCTGGCAGCTGGATCTGGCACAACAGATAATCACTCTGGGCAGCCATCGATCATATCCACGAACAAAGCCCTCTATCCCCACTTTCGTGATATGATGTCGAAGTTCTCCAAACTGGTTATATCTTCACATATTGCTGCGGCGGATTGGCCAAATGCGGAATCATATCAGAAATGCTTGCAGGAGGCCGATGGTGTACTGCAGGGTGTCTTCAGCTATGTTGAAGTTGCAAGACAACAGCGCGGTGAAGATATCCCACGACTGCTCCCTGGTTTTGTAATTGGAAGCACGACTGGTGGCAATTGGCAGAATAATGGACTGGGGACTCGAGATCCATTGACTTCGAACTTTCTGGACGAAGACGAGGGTGTCGTCGAGCCTTCTGCGACATTGGATGCTAAATTGATGGAACGACTCGAAGACCTCAAGCGTCAACTGACTTCGAGCCTTCGAAAATTGGAAGAACAGCTTGTCGTGTCAGAAAAAATCATAACCCCCTACAGGCACGAAGTCATTGGAAACAATGTCTGCTCTGCGGCTAAGAAAGTACTGGTTATGTTCAAACCCTGGGTCTCAACTGTTGAATCCATCAACCTTTCGTCCCTTGTGAACAGCTTCCAAAATCCCTCGTTGGTTGACTTTGCTCAACACAAACAAAGCTTGTATGACAATATATCTGATCTGATATTAGCCTGTCAGGCCGTTGCCGGCCCTCTGGGTGACGAATGGGCTGAGATCCGTGGCGAATCGCTCGAAGGGCGCCTCAACTATGTCCGGCAATGCGCAAAACAGTTAGAAACTAATTCTTCGCACATCGGCTTTTCTCTGCAATTACTTGGCGAGCAAGTACAGATGTCTTCGCAACCAGAAGACCAAGAACCACCACCACCTCCCCCAAGGGAAGATTCTCGCCTTCGGGATGCACGAAGGGTAGAAAGCATGCCATACGAACGCACGCATCAACGCACAGATTCGCGTGTCACTGCTTTAAGGCCAGGCTTAGCTGGTATTGCGCAGTCTCAATCATACTCGGAGGGCGACCCAGCCGCAAACTATCGGAAAGGCGAGAACTCGAAAGTCCGGAAATTCTTCGGTGAGGAGCCTATACGAAGGGACGAGCAACCAGACGAAACTCCCGATTGCCTGAAGCTCGATCATGAGGAGGACATTTCCTATGACATGAAAGTTGCACCTCCACAGCTGAAAGGTGGAACTCTTCTTGCTTTGGTAGAACAATTGACTCGTCATGACAAGCTCGACTCAAGTTTCAACAATACCTTCTTGTTGACATATCGATCATTTACCACGGCCAGGGAGCTATTTGAGATGTTGGTCAAGCGCTTCCAAATTCAACCACCAGAGGGTATGGTTCAATCGGACTACGATATTTGGAGGGATCGCAAACAGAAACCGATTCGATTCCGAGTCGTTAATATCTTGAAGAGTTGGTTCGACAATTTCTGGATGGAAGATCAGAGTGACGACACCAAAGCTCTCATTCGTGATGTTTACACATTTGCCAGAGATACCGTCAAAACTACGGAGACCCCTGGCTCGGGTCCGTTGATGGCGGTATTAGAGCAACGATTACGAGGACAAGATACTACTGCGAAACGGCTGGTTCTCACACTGAGTCAATCGACTCCTCAACCCATCATGCCAAAGAATATGAAGAAACTTAAGTTCTTGGACATCGACGTGACGGAATTCGCCCGCCAGCTCACCATCGTCGAATCGAAACTCTACGGCAAGATCAAGCCCACAGAGTGTCTGAACAAAACTTGGCAGAAGAAGGTTGGAGAGAACGACCCCGAGCCAGCACCGAACGTCAAGGCACTCATCCTACACTCGAATCAATTGACGAACTGGGTGGCAGAAATGATTCTTACACAACTCGATGTTAAGAAGCGTGTTGTGGTCATCAAGCACTTTGTTCTCGTGGCCGATGTAAGTCGATTACTGTCCTGTGTAAACTCATCTTAATAATATATAGAAATGTCGGCAATTGAATAATTACTCCACGCTCACGTCTATCATCTCTGCTCTCGGTACAGCACCAATCCACCGACTGAAGCGAACTTGGGATCAAGTACCGGCCAAGACAACTGCTGTTCTGGAGTCGATGCGTAGACTCATGGGGAGCACCAAAAATTTTGGCGAATACAGAGAGAGCTTGCATCTCGCCAATCCACCCTGTATTCCATTTTTCGGTACGAATTGCTCTCTCTCCTTGCTTGCTAGTGCTAACGTGCCACTCAGGTGTATATCTTACTGATCTAACTTTCATCGAAGATGGTATTCCATCTATCATCAAGAAGTCTACACTGATTAACTTCGCCAAACGTGCCAAGACAGCAGAAGTTATTCGTGACATACAACAGTACCAGAATGTGCCTTACCCCTTGCAAGCAGTTCCAGAGCTTCAAGAATACATATTGAGCAACATGCAAGCAGCAGGAGATGTACACGAGATGTATGAGAAGAGCTTGACAGTTGAGCCACGTGAGAGAGAAGACGAGAAGATAGTAAGGTATGTGAGACTGGAGGAGATATCAACCTATGGCGGGTACCCTTTATGAAGCTCTAAAGATCAAATCTGAGAATTCCCGCAAGATGCAATTGCCTATTTGGGGTGTAGAAGGAACGTGCTTACCAAGTTGGTCGAACATAGGGTTTTAGCCGAGTCCGGCTTCCTATAAGCCAATATCAACCACACAAGCCTCACATCATACGCCACGAATGACAGCGAAGAGATACAACGCCTTACTACAAATGATATGTTTGACGACGAAACGAGACGCACCTATTCTCACGCCACTGTCCCAAGATCTGGACAGACCAGGTACTAGAGCATCTTCGAACTGTAAGCCGGCCCGGCATCTTTCCGCAGTACCAATCCCCTCGGTTTTACTTCGACAACTCCAATACCCATTATATCAGTCGCATGGTTTTTACACATATCGATTTATACCACAAATCTGCCTGTCTTCGATTCGATTTCTTCCGCCGCATACACCACACCATTACATAGAAGTTTTGATATATCCACGTGGTTCGGTTTCCCTTCTGGCCTTACAAGGTTTTCTACTTCTTCCGAGCAAGAGAATAGGCGTTCATCCTTTTGAATGTGTTTCCCCGGTGGTGCAAAATAGTTGTCCAATAAATTTTCGCGGTCTTATTCTGCAAGCGGTCCTTCTGTAGGCTTACGGATCAGGATTGATGGAGCACGGGTGTATCTTCTGGTTCGCTTTGGGAAATGGTGCACCTGCAATGCGAGCAGGGGGGGACAATGAAGCAGTCGGGCAAGCAAGCATAAGTATTCCAATTGGGGGCTGATCGCATGCACCACCCAACAAATAGGGTCTCTTTACCCACTTCCCATGACCAACTAAACTCCAACTTTCTGTTATCATCTAATATCTCCCATGTACTCTCCATATCTATCCCCTCGTCTTCTTCTGAGAATTGTGGGGAATTTTCGCCTAAAAAGGATACACGATTATGTGTCCTAAAACATGACATGAGCATGTGAGCCTTCCCCCGGCAGCAGCCTGGACGGATTCTCGGTATCTGGCCCCGACGTCTCTCTCCCCATTCGTCTGAGCCGTATCAATAGGACGCGAGTCAATGGCCAGGCACATGGATGTTTGACCTGTCGTTACATAGCAGAACAGCAAATGTGCTGCCTCTGCAGGCCACGCGATCTGGGGTGCAGATTCCAGCCTGCACAAACGTCGCGGTACAATCTATGGGTAATCCAAACTCTTTATACTATTAGATTGGAAGTGTGGTTGTCAATCTGGTTGGTTGGGGGTAATGTCGTCTACAGATGCGAATTTCGGATAATCCCACCTTGGTTGGGTGTTGGGACATTTGTGGGGGGCGAATGGGGGCATGAAAGTAGAAGCTTGTTCTGTGCCGAGTGAGTGATGGGTAGGTAGCAATTTCCGCCTCGTCTCTGGTATCTCGTTGCTGCATGTCCTTTTTCTTGTGTTACGAGCAAGACTTTGGAAGTGCTGGTAAGGAGCTGGAGGCCAATGTAGGTATATGATTGTTGGTTTTACATTTTTAAAAATTGTTTGGGGTGTGGTCGATGTGGCCTACAATCTTATGCATTGTTAGTTGATGTATTGCTCCCCGTGTGCCCACTGTACAACATTCTAGTGTCAAAATCATTCTGTTATGAACAAGCAGTGTTGCTATCATCTTTCCAGGACGAGTTTTGGAAGTTCCAAAGCATGCTATGTTGGCTGAAGTCTCCCAAGTTGAATCGAGGGATGGCCGTGCGGGATTCATACTCCGTGTCATTTCAGGGGTATAGTTTCAGATGGAATAGCTGATTTGGGATGACAGTTGTCTTCTGCATGCTTTCGAAAGGAAACCTTTGTGGCTGGGCGGGACGGACGGGTTGTGGTAAGACGGGGCCGTGCAGGATTGTGGTGGAGGGCCTGTGATGCTGCGGCGGAGTAATATTCGATGCATGGGAGAGTAGTGGGGCTCGTATGCTTCACACTAAGAGAGCATTTAGTAGTTTTCCTGTGAAAATTCGTTCTGGCTCGCTGATTAGGAAAGTGGTTCAGCCATTCACTTGTAAGCCTTGAACGAACTATGCGGGGTTTGGCAGAAAAGTCACCTGGTAGATTAGGGTATACTACTGGGTCTTCCAGAGCCAGGATCTTAGAAAAATGGCGGTTTTTCAAGAGAAGTTTTGTGAATGCGAGTTGCTCCTCCTCGAATTTGCATTGTTACTTTTTCACGACAATTTCAACTTTGCCCTCGTGCTACATCACTATCAGCATATCTAAGCCTGTCAATTTACAAGATCTTCGGAAGGTGAATAATGTGAAGACAACCCAGTTTATGGTGTTGATCTACGCAAGCTGCCTGGCACCTTACTCCGGTGCCATGTTCTTACCTTTTTTCCAGCACACAATATAGATGGTCGAGGTGAGGTATTTGTAACCCTCGTGCGGCACATGTTCTTCTTAGCTTTGGGAGGACTGCTCCTCCCGAATATATGGCTTTTCATCCTTTTAATCATTCCATCCATTTCACCTGGCTGACTTGTTCTTTTGCTCACCTTTTCGAATTAAGCACATGATGATGCGCTAGCTATTTATGTTCCCTATTAGGTGGTCGAGAATATTTGACGTGTGCTTCCAGGGGGTTTTGTTGATTCCCCTCGCTTATTGCAGTTTCTTATTTCTCCTTGCTAGTCTAGCCCCTAATCATGTAAGTTACTACAACACCTCTCCGGGACACAACTTAGTCTTCTTCGAGCAAACAACCTCCATCTGACTCTTACAAACGATCAAGCCTTACTCCACAGACTCATTACATCTCTAGTTTCTAGGTGTTCATGCCGGTCTTCAACACACGCACTGCTTACAAGCCCGAGACTCGTCTGGCAACTTATTCAGCTTTCTCCAGCTACTTCGTGCTGCGTCCATATACTTACACCCAATATGAAATTGCCACATTAATCAATTCATTTGCTCTTGTCTGGACTCTATCTCCACTCACAATTCATAATCAAAACTCACCATTTAGTCATCCTCACACCTTTCAGATCCTCTTTCTGAAGCTCTCACGTTCTAATAATTCAGTAAAGTCATGGGCATGATGGGTGAGGATATCTCAACAGTACCCAAGGAAGAATATTGCGACTCAACTCGATTCAATCCGGTTGTGATCAAGCGAACTCAAGACACCAAACACAACGCCACGATTTCTTTGGGCAGTACGAGAAATCGACATAGAGCCAGAACAGGGGCCGAGGACAAAGATTCTAGATCGATCGCGGCCCTACGAAGACACAATCTCATTATGAATCTGGTCTCTGATGCAGAAAACGACCAAAAACCTTCATTGAACCTTGAGGTACTCGAGCTCGCACCCTCCTTCGAACCTCAGGCACAGGATCAAATTTCATTCAAGCCGGAGTTTTCGCCAGAAACTATTCATTTCTCGCAGTTATTTTCAACATTTAGAACAGATGATGGGTTCTCTACTGAGTCTAACTTAGGCTCTTCTTTATGCTCTACGTTCGACTTCGAAAGATCTCCCCTCGGGTCATTGGACACGGCACCATTTCAAAAGTCTTCTGGACCTCCTTTCGATATTCCACCCTCACAAGGCAGTCAGCCGCGCCTGCAGAGAAAGCTCAAGAGCGTCAGTAGTGAATGGAGGCGGTGGTTTGTGGAGAGGCAACGGACTCCGCCAAGAAAGGCTGCAAGAAGAAAGCCAATTAAGGGCAAGGTGCCCTTGATAGCCCCTAGATTTTCAAGGGGGAACAATTATAATGTGAGGAACGTGCACCAGGACTCTGGTACAAAGTCTGGTCAGTCTACGTGCATAAACCATGCCTCCAATTCAAGCGAGAGGAAGAGTCTTGCAGGAATGTCTCAAGGAGAAGGAGGATCAAGTCAAACATCGCTACCACGTTCTCGGGATTCGGCTCCTGAGCTCGTAGGGGAATTCGCAATGCAGCAGACACAACAGCAAGCCACACTGGAAAGGGGGGAAATGGGCATCCAAAAGCCGTCATTCTTGTAAGCACAATTACCAATTTAGAAGTAGCAAGGCAGCTGTTAATTCATTCTGTCAGGAAGCCACACTCCGATATACTCAAAATCACACTTGGCTCTACCACGTTCGCAATATATGCCGACTTCCTTTGGTGGCATTGCCCGTTGCTTGCACAAGAGTGCCAGCAAACTTGTTCCCGCGAGCTCTCATTTTTACCAAGGTCACTCCAAGACGTAGATATGGAGGTGTTCTGTCTGTTTGTTAATTGGCTCTACATGGAAAGAGTGATCAACAAGCGAGACGAACCGCCATTTCAACAAAGGACAATGGGCCTTTATGTTATTGCTAAAAGATTGCAGATGCCGAGACTTGCCAATGATGCTATTGATGCTCTGGAGGCAAGACGACGTATGGAGGGCGATATTCAAACGAAAGCCTTCCACTCTGTCTACGACAACACCGAGGATGGGGACCCCTTGCGGAGGTACATTACTGACGTTTGCATGCACTTCAAGCCGCATATCTCCGAGAGGCACAAGAAAGAAAGATACCCCGATGAATTGAACCGGGATATCTTCGTGGCCTCGCTTACCGATCTGATGAAGCCTGAAGATGGCGAGATTGATACTACCAAATACCACATGAAGGTCGAGCCGTGAATCCTGAAGGCCGGGCCAGGTCGAGGGACTTACTGGGAGGAGCTAGCATAGTGCTCAAGGAATAGTGTCGTGAGGTTTAATGCAGGTACCGTTGGCAGCTGGAGATCAGATGGTAGAGCTCACTGAAGGGCTGGGTTACCTTGGCTGGAGAGAGTGGAGGATTCAAGCAGTACTATGTAACGACAGCATACTCACTCACTCACTCAGTTGACAGAAGCGCGCAGGTCTTTTCACCAGACTGAGATTGACCTCTCAAGGATTCTCGCTGTGTCGTACCAGGCCTGACTATGACAAAGAAGTCGAATCTAGGAGCCAAAGCCTTCAGAGTTTGCTCACACGTTTTTGCGGGAGAAATTCCTATTCGAGTTGTGGATAAGCGAACCATGCCATCATGTTGTCATTCATACTATAGTATCATGGATTCTCGTCGTCCTCCACGAGGTTCAGTCTGAAGCTCGTCTGACGAACTGCTTAGTTCCCAGTCCTTTCTTTGCTGCCCCATCGACTGAGTTATCCTCGCAATGCGAATTTAGACCCACCCCACCCATCAGACATGCTATAGAAGTTAAGATGTAGACTGCTAGACTAATCGTCAGCTGACTAGCGGTGAGCTTCTTATAATTACTATTACTCTTAGTTAGAATAAGTAAGTGTAGATTAGAAGCAAGTGCGGATTTTTACGATTTTATATATATTCAATTCTCTACTAAATCTTTAGCTTTTTTATATTATTACTAGATATACTTTTACTTACTTATTATAATAAGTTATAAGTAAACTTATCTAATTTAAATGCTATAGCTCCTTTACCTTCTAAAGCGTCTAAGAGCTATTAAGCTTTGAAATAGCTCTATTAATATAATCGACGACTTAAAAACACGTCTTTAAAAAGTAAAAGAATAACTTTAAGAGCACCTTTAAAAGTAATAGAATATAATAGTAAAGATCTTTAATATTAACTTATTAACCTTAAATAGCTCTCTATATTAGTAAAGTACTAAAAAATAATATAATAGATAAAATAAGATACTTTAAGCTTACTATGAAACTACGTTATATACGTTTATATTATAATTAATTATTAATTAGCTTTAGCCTTTTACGAAGTTAATTTATTAGTTATTTATACTATTTGATAGTAATATAATAAGATAGTAATTAATCCTTTCTAGAGTTAGTTTATAATATAATAAAAAAGGAGTAGTTTTTATAAGATTACTATAAAGCCTCTAGCTTAAGTATAAGTATTAATATAAGACTAAAAGATAGTTAAACAATAGTTTAAGTCTTTCTAGTGTACTTATAAAAGAATAAGAGTTAAACTAAAAGATATTATTAATTTTAATAAGACTAGCTTTTATATTAGCTACTCTAGAGGTTTAGAGGTATTAGTTCTAAAGTAAATTAAAGAGATATAAAGATCTTTATATTTAATCATATAGCTTTATAACTAATATTTAAGTATAGTATTACTTTATTAGCTCTGAAAACTAACGATTTATTATAAGTATTAAGATAATTAATATAACTAAGCGAAGACTAATTCCTCTTATAATTCTTATTTAAAGGAAATATCTTATATAAAAGTTGTTTATTCTAGAGCATTTAAAAGGGATATATATTAAGGAAAGTAATAGCGGTTTTATAGATAATAAGATTGTTATACTCTTTTTAAAGTATTATATTTATAATTCTAACTATAGACTAGGTAAGCTATAGAAACTTATACTTATAGATAATTATAAAAGCTATAAGACTTCGGAATTTATTAGCTTAACTAACTTAAGTAATATATTATCTTTTCTATTAATTCTATATTTAATGTATTATATATAACCTCTTAACGTTAGGATTTTCTAGCTTTATAAGTACTATTATAACCTAGTAATTAAGAACACTTCTACTTAGCTTAATCTTAAATATATTATCTACTTATTTTTATAAGATTTAAAGGTAATTTATAACTAAACGTTCAGTTAGTATAATATTAAAAAGGCCTAAAAAAAGTCTAGTATATATCTAATTAACTATAATTATTATTTTAAGAACCTTAAGATCTTTATACCTTTAGAGGCTAAAATTAATATAACTAATAAACCTAGTCTTCTTTGAACTCTACGAAAACTTATATATATAAAAGAGTTTACTTAGAAATAGTAATATAAGATTATAGAGCTTTTAAGTAGTCCTTTTTAACTAGAGTTTAAGGCTTTCTTATGTAATATACGTTAAGTTATAGTTAAGACCTTTTTATAAACAGAAGAGTTAACTATTTTATCTTAATAATATAAAAACGAGATTAAGAGTAAGAAAAGAGGTAAAAAGTAGTTCTATTTTAAAAATAACCTTACTAAAGAGGTTACTAATAAACTTATTATAAAGAGAGAGACTAAGAAAATATAATATAACACTTTAAAAGCTTAGCGCTATATTAATAAGTTATAGAAAGAGAAGTAAGACCTTAAATATTAGAAAAGAGTTGATTTATATACCTTAAAATAAGCTTATAAAAGAACACTTTATAAGCGTTTAAGTAATAGTTAGATTATTAAAGATAATAATCTTTTCTTAGTTCTTATCTTTAATATAAAGGAAATTTAATAGTCTTAGTAATCTTTAGAATAGTAAGTTACTTATTTTAGAAAAGGAGGCGTTTTAAAGCTTAAATTACCTCTTATTAAGTTAGTTCTTAGATATAACGAATTATAAATAACTATTAATATAATAGGTAATATAAAGCTCTAAACAACTATTTATCTTTTTAAAAGGTACTAAAGACCTCGGAATTAATAGCGATAGTTTTAATTTAGATAATAGTGCAGATTTAAATAATTTATTATATAAAGTTAGTAATAACTCTGATTTTAAAGAGAGTCGGATTTAAGCTATTAGAGTAGTATCTCTTTAGATAATTCTAAGAGTAATAAGCATCCTGATAATAATTAACAATTTACACTAGTTTATATATAGTTCTAATAGTAATTTATACTTATTCTGTTATTAAAGGTAATAAATTATAAAAATCTACACTTACTTCTAATTTGTACTTACTTATTCTAACTAAGAGTAATAGCGATTATACCTTAAAGGCGTAATCGAGGTTTTGCTCTCGATTATCTAATAGTTATAATGCTTATCATATAATATAAGTATTTAAGAAGCACTAAAAATATATTAATAATAATTAGACTATAAGCAGAAATTAAGGGTTATAAAAGCATGACTATTATATGACTAAACTATTAAGAACTAAATAATTATTATCTAAGCGTTAAGATACATAATAGTTATATATTATATAATCGCTATATGTTTAAGCTATTAAAATTAAATTAACTATTTATAAACTATTAAAATCATTTAGTAGTTATATAATTTATCTATTAATAATTCTTAGTAGTAATATAACTGTTAATCTACAAATACTTATCAGATAACTGCAATTTATAGTAGGCTTAGTAGACTAAGATTACAACTAAAAAGGCTATAGTAGTCGTATGTCTTAAGGCAAGCTCTTACTACTACTATATTAATTTAATTAAAATAAAAGTATATCTAGGATTTAAATCTTAGATCAAATATTAAAAAGATTATACTATTCTTTAAGCTTATGAAAAAGTCCGTTTATATAATAGTAGATTATATAGGTCCTATTGTAGTAGCTACGGCTAACTCTACTAGAGAGACTAGATTAAGATTAGAATAAATAACCTTAGATAAAGCGAGTTATCTAGGTAAATTTAGACTTACTCTTTATAAGGATCTCTTTCATAGCCTTACTACTCTATTAAAAGTAAGAAGAATATTACTAGAGAGAATATTAAGTAAGGCCTTTTTTATAACTAGAGTTATAAGGTTAATAGCTTACTTATAAAGTAGGACTGAAAGCCTAGTAGAGCAAAGTTAGCTCTAATAAATAGTAAGTCCGTAGTATAGTATATTTTCTTAGGGTTGATATTAAAAAGTATAACTAGTTCTATAGCTACTATAATCTTATAAGGTACGAGTAATAAGTAAATATTTAGGTTTAGGTTAGGAAATTAGGTAGAAAAATATATTAGATATCTTAGTATTTCTATAAAACAAGTATAGCTTACTATAAGTATCTTATTAGTCCTACTAGAATAGTAATCTAGAATAGCGATAAGTAGCCTAGGCGTATTAAATACAACAGTTATCTAAAGCCTGGACGCTAATTCTCTGCTTAATAGAACTTTACTAAAAGAGCTAGTACTTAATCTCTTTTATAAATTCTATCCTTTATAAATATGCTTCTTATTATCGTAGATAAGTATGTAAGTAAAATATATATTCTCTTATAGTATAACTAATAGTGTTATATTCTCTAGATTATTAATAGGGCATTTTCAACTATTTATCTTAACTCCTTTATTTAAGTATAGCCTAAAAGTATTTTGGATATTAAGTAAAGAAGTAAGGATATTATTTATATTATTAGCAGGATTATATTAGAAAAAAACAGAATTAAAGGATTTTATTTGCGATAGGGCTAACTTATCTTCCTTCGTAGCTTATATGCTATAGCTTTCTAGTAGTTTTATTATTATACTACTAGCTACTTAATATTATCACGTCTTAGATATTTGATTTCTTAGTAGTACTAATTAAGGGTCTAATAAATCTCTTAAATAAATCGCAGCTTAAATCGTAGCTTACTAGAGCTTATACTTATTCAGCTTAGTATTTATTTTTAACCTTATTAAGAGTCTTATAACTCTTTAGCAGAAGAACTACTAGGATTTTTAATCTTTCTCTTTTTTAATATTTTACTTTTATAAGTTAAGCTTCTAGTAGTTATAATATACTTCTATAAGCTTGACTAGATACGATTTAACCTAAGCTATCTCTTTTTTACTCTTAGATTATATCTATATACTTAATATCCTTAGAGATTCTAAGGAAACCTATTTTTTTACTTTCTAATCTCTAGCAGTATTATTCTGTATTATTTATTAGTAAAGCTTATCTTTTATAAATAAAAGCAGAATATTAAATATAACTAGAACTAGTTTAAGAAGATTTATATTAGAAGCTTATATAATAAAGAGCTAGTACTAAATAAGAAACCTACTGCACTACTTGCTTAAGAATAGTACTATAGTTTAAAAGAGATAAAGCAGAACCCAGAAAGCAGAAAAGTTATATTATAAGCTTAAAAAGTTAAGTGAATAGAAATTAGAACCTAGTAGTAGAGTAGTTTATATTTTATTTACTTCTAAAGTATATTAAATCCTCTTACTCAACTAAATATAATATATAGATTATAGCCTTAAAGTATCATTTTACACTCTAGCTAAGATATAAGTAAGCCCTAGCGCTATAAACTCTTCCTAGACTCTAAAGTA